AAGCTACTTTATAGTTTTTCTGTCTTACTCTATGTTCTGGACATATTTGTCCTTTAACTGAACAAATATTTCCTTGGCGCAATAGTTTTACATATCCAATAGCTGAATCACCATAGCTTTCTCGTGTTGATCTGTATACAATTAAGTAGGTATTTAATTTGAGTTTTGTACAATATTGAAATATAGCCACAAGTAGTAATGYAGGTATTACCTATTGAAAATGTTATAAGTGTATAGCAAACTTACCTTTGGGCTTTTGATCCTCTAAGCTCAGGATCATTAAAACAATCACTGTTTTTTATATAATCATTAACCATGTATATATTTATTTTGGGTATATTACTAGCACAAGCTTTATCAAACAGTTTAGTTGACATTATAATTTTTAAGATAGAAAATAAACTGTTTTATACCATAATAAATTGATGACAAAAAAATAAAGATGGTAAATATTCACAAAGATTTAATATTGTATAGAAAAACAATATTTTATCACTGCCACACATTAAAACAAAACATCAATAATAATTGTAAATGTTTAATCATCATACGGAATTTCAAGTAGGAATCTATTTTTAAAATCATTGTAATACTAATAGTGTTGACGTGGCGGTGAGTGGTGAGGCTAGCTGGGCCTTTGCCCATGGCCTCGCAGCTCAAACCATGTACTTTTTTTTAATATAAAAGGGCCTCGTAGTATATTTTGCCCAAGGACTCACAAAAGCTAGCACCGGCCCTGAATACCTACTCGTCTAGATTAAGGCGATTAAGTAACTATTTCTATTTCTATTTGCCATGGTCACTGCGACACTACTCCTAATAAAAAAATATTATTTGTTTTATACCTAATATTATATTATTATAATATATAGATGTATATTTAAAATACCTACTATAAGTTAGGGAATAGGGATAAATAGTTAAAGACATCTTAATCATCTTATATAATAATGCAGTCCAGTCCATAAACACTAATTATGTTGTTATTAAGGGGTTTTTTGCTATGTTATATTATGTAACTAATCAGCACCATCAAAAAAAATTCCTGGATTCGCCACTGAATTTATATGCAGTAGAATAATATTATAACCATAAAAGTGACATCCTAGAACCTAACAGGGCTTAGCTTGCTTAAATAAGCAACTTGCTTTGCCGGATTGCCGCGGCAGTCGTCATGCGGAGTGACGTCACGGAATAGACACGCCTACTTATTCCATACTACAGCCGCCCGCGACATTTCGAAGGCCAGTATCTCCATAAAAAACCAAAAAAAAAAAATAAAAAAAAAATACCGTTCTCTATAATTTTTCACGTAGATTTAGAAAAGTACAAAAAAAAAATTGTTCAGATACTAATTATCAATAATATAATAAACCGATATTATACCGATCATATTGATCAAACATCACAGTACGTATTTGTTCGCATTTCATACATCATATTATATCAATCATTATATTAATATTAATTTTTTTTAAATATTATATCAATATATCGTCAAACATTTTTAATTATATCACTGTTTTATATTATTATTATTCAATTTTTTATTGTTATGTGAATAGCGGGGCGATAACAAACCTGAGTGGCGGGGCTATAACAAACCAGTACCAAAAAAAAAATTATAGGGAATGATATATTTTCAGCCTTGGTCTATGAATGGACGTAATTTTAATATTTTCCCCGGGCGTAAAATATCTTAGTTTCGCCTCTGAGTATAATATAGTGTGGTTAAAACTTATAATAAGTATATATAAGTATATATAAGTATAACAAAAATAATCCGATATGCATCGTAAGAATATTGGAATTCCGTTTTTAAAAATATCGATAAGCACTCGGCATATCGCTTTCAAACATCACGTAAAAAGGCGTATATCCCCTTCTACCACAAATGGTCATTCCTATAAATAACGATATGGGAAAGGCAATCTAAAATACTAGCGCTTCTGAGAAATTGCCTATACGAAAAAAAAATTTAATTTCTTTCAAAATCTGATAATTTTTTTTTAAATTGAACACAAAAATAAGAATTAATAAATATTTGTAACATTAATGTAAACAAATTGTCATATAACATCAAAAATATTAATCTTTTTATTTTTTCCTTTTTGGCTGGACATGCGCCAGGACAATTGGTCCTGATGGTCTCTCTCCTATATTTTTATTTAACTGCAGATTTATACTTTCCCCACCAATCACATATCTCTTTAATTTTTATTTAAATAGTGGCTCATTTCCATTATCTTGGAAATCCACCTATATTCATCCAATTCTTAAAAAGGTAATAAATCATCGTTGTATGGAAATAAATGACGTACTGTATATTTGTCTTTAAAAGTTGTATCACAACCAACAACAACACAATTTTTGGATGGCATCTGGAGTGAGTGAAATACATCATAAAGAAATAATATAATTATTAATTACCATAATAAATAAAAGTAGGTAGGTACTCACATCAATAATTATTGCAATTGATACTTAATACTACGTAAAGACCGATCGAAATATATTAGTAACTACTAACTAGTAATCGTTTTCAATGTGTTGTTATAAAATTTAATAAATTAATAATTTTTCATATTACACAATAGTACAATACACAAATAGTAAAATTAATGTGCCAATGTGGTTTTTTTTTATACCAACTTATGGTAACTTGAGTACCTATAATTGCAGTCATAGGCGCAGCTAAGGTAAAAATTATAWTTATTTGTATATTCTATATTCGTCGACATTATAATACATTATGTTGGTTTACGCCATTTACGGGCTCGTTTTTTATAATATGCTATTGACAAACTATCAAAAATATTTCCCGTAAAACAAATTTAAACATGACAGAAAAACTGGGGGGGGGGCTGTTTGGAAAACTAGGAGGACTTAGCCCCCCCCCCCTAGTTGCGCCTATGATTGCAGTAGGCATTCTGATTTCGTAATATTCTTATCAGGCTAATGCAGCTGGATGCTATAAAGTTGTACCCTCATGGTTCAACAATAAAAGAATCACCATGTATACATATTATATTTGGTTATTTTGATATTTTAAGACACTTGCTATTTAATCTATGGAGAATGCATTGGCTTCAACAATACATATTGACAATGTCATAACTGAGTTTGATGTGCTTAGAGCTCGTAAAATAAAATTTTAACTTAAAAAAAAACTATTTAATAAACTTGTTTTTTTTCTTTTTTCATTTAAATATTTTATAAAAAAAAAATGAAACGAAATAGTTATTGTCAAAATGCTTTTAAATTTTGATTTAATTGGAAGCTGTGTAAAGGACCTGGACAACATTTAGAACAGTTCCCGAAATTTGATGCGTGATTGATTTGTGAGTATAGAAATTCTGAACTCCAATCATTTAAAAATTTAACAATACACAAAATGAATTATCTATGTTGTTTAATGTAATACTAAGCACTAATACAACTACCAAGGTGCTTTAAAAAGGAATTTTTTTTATTATTATACATAGAATACACTAAAGTGGATATTATCTAGAAATTCTAAAGCTGAATAATTATTGAAATACTTTCTCAAGTTGAAAACAATTTGAATCTATATTCCTCTTAAAGTAGGCAAGACAATAATTTCAATGATTGAAATTTTGATTACAAACAGGTTACTGATAATAAGGTGACTAATAATATGTCTGAAATGACATTAAAATAATATTTAATCCTTGACTCATCTTTAAAGATAGTTAGAACTTTTTGGCATGTTGTAAATAAATTTAATAATTTTATAATATAGTAAAATAATTAAAATACAATTATTCATAAACCTCATAATTACAAACCATATTATTTTGGTTGCTGGCAGAAAAGGAATTTAAATTTAGATGCAAACTGAAGCTTAAGTCTACCTATACAAACATTAAATATTTTCTGTTAAAACGTCTCTATGCATGTATTTATTATTTGGATTTATTTTTTTGTATCTTCAATTTGTTTTTGTGGTATATCACTTTGGCAGATGAAATTATTTCAGATTCTGATTTCGATGCTTCTAGAAGATTTGAACTCATTTGAGGTTCTGACATCCCTTGAGTGTCCTTTGGTTTCACTAAAATAATAAATTAATTAATGACCATATGATGTTATATAGATATAATATTAACCTGTTTGTAACTTCTCCAATTCGATTATCTTTTTTTTAAGTCCTATGATTTTTTGTCTCATTCTAAACATGGCAATAGCATTATTTTCTTCTTGAACTAGTTGAAATAACATATTAACTTTTGCTTGATAATATTTTTTTAATTCCATGAATTTTTTTTCAATTGACAGATGGAATTCTTGATAATTATTATTTAAAGCTACAATAGTATGCCTTTGTCTATCATTTATTGCCTAAAATTGTTTTAAATTTATATTTATGAAAAAGAAATCAGTTACATTTCATACAAAAATAAAATATATATTTGATAATAAAAATACTTACATCAAGTTTAGATATTATTTCATCATTTTCTCTTCCAGATTCTTTTAAATCTATAACTTTGATAAAATAATGTACCAACAATTTTTTAAGCTCGTCTTTATTTAAAGTTGATAGACACTTCCAGAAAATTGCTGTTTCATTTGAATTCTGTAAACAAATAATATCCATACTGTACATTTTTTTTTTTTAAATATCAAAGTTCTATCATAATGGATATGATGTTATTTATTACCGTTTTAATAAAATGTAATGAATTTACATCATTATTGCATATATTATTTTTTAATTCAATTAAATAATCTATGGAATCAATTGCTTCATCATTTTCTAAATATCTTCTAACATCATCTTTGAATAAATCATTATCCTAGAAAACAAAAATATAATTTGAGTTATAATTATTTAAATTTATGAATTGGTTATTATGTAGAAAAAAAAAAATGAAAAATGTAATGGTTTAAAATATTAAAGGTTTCTTTAGAATACAATCACTAATATAATTTAATATTAGTTGATATCACGATTATTTTAAAATGTATTAAATGAAACTATTTTTCATGTCTATAAAATGAATAAACTTATTATTATTATTAGTATAATCTTATTAGATAAAAACCTTTTGATATTTGGGATTAAACATTCCTTTAGGACGTGAACTTAAAATTTCATTTCTCATATTCTGTAAGTTCAAAAATTCTTTTTTTAAATAAACCTTTTCATTTAAATTTGATGATGTATGGACTCTAATTTTGCCTATGCTTGATAAAACCTAAAATTGCATAAATTGTAATCAGTTTTTTATAATTAATTAAATAAACATATAATACAAATTCTTTAAATGACCCCTAAATTTGACAAATGTATTTTYAATTGATTAATTCGCTTTTCATTTTGTATTATTAATGACGAAACTTCTTGTTTATTTTTTATGTGATTATTTAATTGGTCATAAAAAATTTTTAACCGATCATTAGAAGTCTGTAATGCAATTTGATATTGTAGTAATCTAAAACATAACATTCATTAGTATTTATTAAGATGAATTTACAATTTATTAGTAAATACTTTTCTGTACTATCACTGGCAATTTTTATAATGTCATTCATTTTTTTAATTTTGTCTTCATATCGTAATAGCCTATTATTTGTTCGCTCCCCGTAATCTGTATCTTTACTAGATCCATTACCATAATTGGTTTTTGATTTGTTTAACTGACTTAAAATTTTAATATATTTTTTGTTTATTTTATTGTACTCCTTTTCAACTTTTTCTTTTGCATTCCATCTGACTTCTGCAAATTTGGCAGTTTCACTGATAAAATTTTTCTAAAATAATTAAAAMTTTAGCAATGTACACGATTTTGTACCTATTATAAAAATTAATAGTGAATAATATGATAAAAATTATGACACAATTACCTTAATTGATATAATATCTTCTAAGTGTTTAATATTATTTTTTAATCCATCCTCATTAACAGTAATAATGCTCAATTCTTTTCTTTTTAAATTTACTATTTTTGTTAAAGTTTTTAATTCTTCTCGCAATTTTGTGACAACGTCCAAACTGTTGTTTATAGTAATATAATTTAGTGAAATATGTTGACTTGGATCAAATTCAGAACCTAAAAATTATTTTTAAATTAATWAAAATATAACCAACAAATATTAATAACAATTGTCCTTTTGATAACCAATGACATTTATATAAGTTTTTAAAAATATTATGGCATGAGGAACATTAAAATAATATACAATTAAGTAACAACCATTGTTTTTCCTTTGTTTTATGGTGCTTTATCTAATAAACTAATTATTAAGTCCATTTGTTTAAAGTAGCACAGTGAACAAAAAATTATAAAACATAAACCACACCATATATTTCAGTATCTACCCACTATTAATTCTCTTAACATGTATAATATAATTATTATGATATCTTAAATATAATGTCTATTTGATTGCTAATCACCTACAACCTGCTTATAAAAATGTCTACTATGGCTCATAGGCGCCATGAAACCTCATTCACCATGTCAATGGGTGTAGATATATTTTATCACATAGACATTTAAAATTCTATTTTTCCATTATCTCCTCTTAATCCACCCTCTAACTAGGGACTGTATTCTTAAATCTATTTAAAAATAGAATTATTAAATTCTTTGATTAAAAGTGTATTATTTTCACCGTTGTGTAATTGTAATAAATAACACGATAATAAATATAATAATATAAACATTTAATCTATATTATAAAAATCAATTGTGACCTTGGAGCCGAAGGCATTCGTTTCTTTCTAACTCCAACACTTAATGTTTATACAGCTCACTCTGTCGCTCTTCTAAACAGCTGATTAAGTAATTTTAATTTTCGGTTTTATGAACAGCCGAATCTGTTAAATTAATTATTTATTTATTTTCATTTTGAAATATAAAGAATGAAATTCAACATCTATATTCATCAGATTTGGAAACATATTTGGAAGTTTTATGTGATTACAAATTAGCACAGATAAAACCAAATACATTATCAAATTCAGATAGCAACAAATCCAAATATTTGAAAGTGTTAAGGAATATATATGGTGCTGTGTTTGAAAAAGAGAGTTGGAAGATAAGAACTAATAATAAAATAGAATAAATCTTAGAAAAACAAAATCTAGTAAGATTCATAAAAACCGTAAGAATAAGATGGTTACGTTATGTACTAAGAATGTACAAGGAAAGAATGCCTGAACGAATAATGCATGCAAGAATGAAAGGAACAAGAAGGCAAGGACAAACTAGAAGTAGATGGTTGGGGGAAGTACAGAAGGATCTGTAACAGATAGGTATACAGAATTGGAGAAATGCAACTAAAGACCGGGACGGGTGGAGAAGAATTGTTTTAGAAGCCATCATGGCCTGTAGTATTCAGGAGTAGTAGTAGTAGTATACATATATATGTTACGGTGAATGATGTAAACGTGGTAAAATACGTCATTCCCCGGTAAATGACATCATTTACCTAAAAATTGGTAAATGTTGTAAATGCAGACATTCTCCGGTTATTGTCGTCAATCAATAGTTTAATTGGAGAATGATGTTTAATACTTTTATGTCGGTGTGAACAATCAGCGATAAGCGTGTAGGTGCCGAATAAGCTTCATTAGTTAAAAATATCATGATTGAAGTCGATAGATAAACGAAAATCCCAACTAGCAATAACGTCGATAACCCGAGTAATAATATGAGATAATCTTTTAGTTTATTAGTTAATATCGACGGGTATATTATTATAGCGAGTTGTATTTGCTACGAATGTGTGTTTTATAATATTATTTGTAAAAATTTGTGTCACCAGTGAAAAAATATAATAAAAGTTAGATTAAATTATAGTGTTATAGTTTTGTTCAATTTTAATWTTTAAGTAATTTTAAGAACAAATTTAATGCAGCAATTGACACAATTGTCAGCACTAAAAAGAGAGGTGACAATATATTTTATTTTAGTTCTGAAGAATACAACAACAAGATTAAAAAAATAAAAGAATTAAAAATTGGAACACTGAAAAAACGGTAACGAATAACAGACTTATACGTAAATATGATGTTGTGTTAATTGGGGGAAAAGAAAAATTGATTACACCTATAGTTGATAATGAATCTGACATTTTATATTACGTCACAGTAGACGAGTTGTTTGAAGTAATTCACACCGCACATTTAACAGTAGGGCATGGTGGTAGAAATAGGATAATAGCTGAGTTAAAAACAAAATATTGTAATATGACAACGGAGGCAGTTATGGCATAATTTGTAATATGCACGTATTTTATTATTTTATTATTTTTTTATTTTAACAATAAATCATTATTATAAATTGTACCTACAGTAAAAAAATCAGTGTATTATTTGAGATTTATCATCATTTACCACTAGTTTTAGTAAATGATATCAATGACCGGTGAAAGATGTACATTTGAATTTAAAATCTGGTTTTTTACATCATTTACCTACATAATCGAATCATTTTGGTAAAATACGTCATTCACCGGAGAATGACGACATTAACCAATATTCATCTTTTACCGTAACATATATATATATATATATTATATCAGAATCAGATCCTTTATAGATTCTATATCTATGGTTTAAAAATCGAAAAATATGATTATAATATATTTTATATTTTATTTTTATTAAATATTATTATATTTTTATTAAGTTTTGAACACCACTAGCTACACCTGGTATTAAACACAAATTTTAATAATATAGAGTTGGTATTTTTAATGGGCAATAAAGTGCATAGTACTTTATAATAATATTATATATTCATTATTATTTTTCAATATTCTGAATTTTTTTTTTACAATTGTCAGTTATAAGTATTTATTGTATTTTGCAAATCAAATAAGTTGTAAATTATTATTTTGTCATTTTGTCATTACTATGTCAGACCACTTGGATTAAGTTGAATGATAATGATTACATTATTATAAAATTGTATAAAAAATTATAAATTAGTTTTTATTGGATGACAAATTATAGTTAAGAACAATTTCAGAACACTTTTTATAATAGATTAAAATATAATTATTATTAATTAGTTGATGGTTTCAATATTTTATGTTTATTATATAATAAATAATAATGAAAAACAATGAGGAGAGTGCTGTGTTCACTCAATACCAAGACTTTACATAGCTACATCAACAAAAGGTTAATATATTTAATTATTATTTATGTTAGGGCGAGAAAAGTGTAGGATACTAGGACTAAGAGTGACAAAAAAGGTTGAGAACTAAAGGGTTAAATTATAAAAACATTTTATTAATATGTTGAACATTGTTGAACAGGAACATAGTCAGGATGATGGTGAGGGAATGGGAGTAAATTACCTAGGTAATGAGTTTTTAATTTGTTAAATATTATAACACATAGTTAGAGTAGAGAGGATTTATTAAAATTTTTTAATTAATGAGTAAACTTTCATTTTAATAAAAATTATTAATTTTTAATTGAATTCAATCAGAACAAAATAAGACAAATATAACTAGTGCCCTTACGTTTAATAAACGCTTACAAAATACAGATCTGCCATTTTAAAAAAAACCAACGATAATAAGTGAGTAAGTAGATGGATGTCGCTTTGTTGCACAGTAGGTTATAAGTGGGTTACTTTAATAGTGTATGTGTAATAGATAGCAGGCATGCCCACAGAGATTTAACTCACTAGGAGCAAAATATTTTTAGTGTCAATACCATTTAATGGATCAGCTCATTAGCAATAAATTTTATTGATACATTCGTTTAATTTTTAATATTATATCTAAGTAGAGCTTAGATAGATTCAACTCTAATTATTTTAAAATGCAATTAAAATATGAATATAAGTACATACAGAGTGATTCAAAATTTTGTTACAGCCATTTTATCATATAAATATTCAAAATATTGAATAATATATGCAACAAAAAATTTTTGATTTATTAACATCTATTTATGATATTATAATTTTATAATTGGAAACAATATTTTAGAGTATTAGGGCCTTAGCCTTAGTAGGGTTTTAGGGCATTATCTCAAAAAATTGAAATGGAAACCTATACTTTTTTTGCAATTATAATGTGGGGGAATTTTTGAAATAGATTTTAGTGCATGAACCAGTGGCGTAGCCAGGAACTTTTTATGGGGGGTGCAGGGCTCAGAGGTTTTCGGACATG